GTAACCCCATAATCCAGTGGCATCCAGTGGCAAAACCACCAACTACAAATTCATAGAGGTATAACTTATCGGCTGCATTTCCATCATCACCATGCTCCCCACTATTTTTACGTTTTGTCGATGTTCTATTAACTTCGCATTGTTGGGCCAATGGTGCCCCACATATTCCAGTGTTTCCCTCATAATCCGAACTTCCGTTGAGTGTTTGAAGTTGAGGTCCCATCGGGATACGCCCAGACAAATTATTGTTGGACAAGTTCAAATGACTCAGAAAGGTCAACTTCGATAAGCTCTCTGGAATTGTTCCAAACAAATAGTTGTTGGAAAGATCAAGTGATTCGTGAGAGACCATATCTCCAATCTTCAATGGGATTTGTCCTCTTAGATGATTATGAGAGAAATTGAGACCGATCAAGTCAGTGAGGTTTGTCAGCTCCAAAGGGATTTCTCCAACTAGCTGATTACTTGAAAGATCAAAATTGACCAAGAATCGTGTATTTTCGCTATACTCCAGCACCACTCCCTTCAAACATTTTTTGTATTTTCTCCAAACATTTTTTGTATATATATTTTCCTTTGTGCAAACAATGTCTATCTAGTGTTTACATAACTATTCTTGTAATAAAAATTGCTACAAAAAGGGAGGATGAAAGAGAATTGATATGCTAATTCATTGGATAATTGCTCGATCACTGCTAAATTTACTATTTATCACTGTCACGATCAAGTCACATTTAGCTTCTTTTTATTGAAAAAAATAAATCTTTTTTATTTTTGGCTTATACTTGAGGAAAATACCTCACCCCACAAGACTAACTTTTTTTTTTTTTTTTTTTTAAAAAAAAGTTGATTTAGTGATCAAAATGAACAATTTAAAAAAAATTCATTTCCTCCAACTAACTCTTAGATCATCAGTAACGAACTAAGAAATGTTGAATACACGAATAATATCATGAAAGTGTTATATGAATGAATGCTCACCGCGAGTGGTTTTATTGTGGACCATTTTCAAAAAATTGTCAAAGCAACGTGAGATGTTTCCGGTCAACTGGTTGTTTGCAAGGTCCATTATTTGAAGTTTGGACATCTGACAGAAAGAGGATAGAGTGTCTCCGTAGAATTTGTTGTTCCTTAGCCTAAGAATTGCCAGATTGAGCAGATTGTTTCCAATCCATTCTGGAACTTTCCCTGATAACTTGTTGTCTCCAATATCCAAACCCATTAACTGGGTGCAATTTTTCAAATTTGGAGGGAGTTTCCTTATAAAACTGTTGTTACTCAGTTGCAACCATCCCAACGAGTAAGCTCCACTAATGGAGTTTGGAATGGGCCCATAAAGCTTATTAGATGACAATGTTGCAACCCTTAAGTAAGATAAGTTAGCCCAACATTGTGGAAGGTGACCTGACAATAGATTCTTGGAGAGACGCCGGTAAAACAAATCTCTCAGTTGGCATAAGGAAGGGGATATCGAACCAATTATCACGTTATTTAATAGATCTCAAACTTGGATTCTGAAAGGAAGATTTGAAATAGATCCATCAATATGGTTGTTGGATATGTCTAAATCAGTCATATTTTTTATGGAATGGAGCCATTTCGGCAGCATGCCTCTAATGCTACAATTAGATAGATACAAATAGTGTAGTGATTTTTGTGTTTAAAGCCACTATGGAAATTGGCCTCCGATATCAATGGATGACATATAAAGGGATTTTAGTTGAAAATGAGGGGTCCAATCATCTCCCACTCTGAATGTTAACATGTTAGACCCAGTCCTAAATCCTTTAAGTTTGAATAGCTTCTCAAAGTGGGCCTCTATGAGTGTACCTTCAAAGGTATTACCATATATGTCAATCCACTCCAAATCTGAAAGTTGTCCCACAATAGTTGGAATTGGACCAGACAACTTGTTATCAGACAAATCTAACCATTTTAACTGCTTCAGTTTGCCAAGTTCTTCAGGCAACTGCCCATAAAAATTATTACTCCACAACTCTAGGTTCTCCATGTTGTGGCTCCAGCATCTTGATAAATTTATTGGGATTGGACCAGTCAACTTGTTATCAGACAAATCTAACTCCTTTAGCTGCTTCAGTTCCCCAAGTTCTTTAGGAAACTGCCCGTGAAAATCATTACTCCACAACTCCAAATTCTCCAAGTTGTGGCTCCAGCATCTCGATAAATTTTTAATTAATAATACCGAGATATCTCCATGAAAATGATTATTCCCTAGGTTCAATGATTTCAAGTGGCATTTATCCCACAGCAGATCAGAGATCCAATCTGTGCTGTAGTTAAGTGAGTTACCTTCAAGGTTGAGATATTGAAGATTTCTCGACAGAAGAAAATGAGGGTCCAATGAGGTGTATTGGTTGGAAAAAAGATCAAGAAAATGCAATGAAGTTATGTTACAGAGAAAGCATAGAATGCCTCCTTTAAAGAGATTGTTACTCAAATCTTGGTGTTGTATATTAGTAGATAGCGTGGAATTTAAGCAACTAGTATGAGGTAGGTATGTGTTATCAAGCCCGCTATGTGACAAGCTTAATATTTCTAAAGAATGAAATGTACTGAGTACCGTCGCAAGGTGATCATTTGTCGTGCTAAGGTTGACATGACACATATCAAGGGACTCCAGCAATGAAAGATTAGCAGCCCATATGAGATTGTGGACTCTTAGAGAAGATAACAGTCCACCAAGATCAAGTGCACACAAGGTTGAGAGGTTGTCGAGCTGGTAAGGGATAACACATCCAATGCCTGCATTTGAGAGATTGAGATATTGCAGTTTGTTTAATGATCCTTGGAATGATGGAATCGAGCTGTCCTTGAAATTATTCCCACTCAATTCAAGGTACTTGAGATGCTTCATTTCAAGCAAGGAAGAATCAAGTGTTTCACTTTGTGACATGCTATCAGAGCTCGGGTCCCCATAATTATCTAGAACTCGATTTCTGAGATCAAGCCCGATAACATGCCCAGTCGCTTTATCACACTTTATGCCTTGCCAGTTACAACATTTGAATCGGGTGTTATTCCACGAAGAAAGCCCGTTAGACCCATCCAACAGGCTTGCTTTCAACCTCAGGAGAGATATCCTCTCCCTTGGAATGCAATCATTAAAAGTAAAATTATTATTTGATGACAGACACAATATGGCGGTATTATTAAGAAGAAGAAGATGACGGGCTTGAGAATAAGTATAGGCAAGCTCGCTAGATGTTGGTAGTAGTATATTTAACCATAAGGCTCTATTATATAGCCATTTATGATGATTTCGCATATATGGTTAGTTTTCATGAATGATAGTGAAATCCGATTACCAAAAAGTACTTGCACTTGCATTGACTTGACTCCAAGTAAACCTTTTTTTTTTTTTT